CCACATGACAGCTAACAACTGTCCATAATTCCAGTTCCAGGGCATCCAACAGCCTCTTCTGTCCTCCGCAGGCATTGCACGACACGGGTGTATTTACCTACATGCAGGCAATACGCTCATACACATAAAAATAATAATACAATTAAAAAAATAAAAATAAAAAAGGAAGGAAGGGAAGAGGAGGGAAGGGACTGGGAGGGGAAGGGAAAGGGAAGGAAAAGTGAGCCAGATGTGGCGGTGTCCACCTGTAATCATAGCACCAGGAGGTGGAGACCAGGAGTTTGAGATCATCCCTGAGTGTATAGAGAGTTGGAGGCCAGCCTGAGCTACATGGCATCCTGTCTCAAGAAAGAAAAGAATAAAGTAGGAATTGATGTTTTAATGTTTCCTATGATTTATTTTTGTATTCTGTCATTTCTTCTCCAAAGCTAATGAGTCCAGATCCTTCCACATGCCCACCATCGTTGCAGGTCCACAGAACGTAACAGTGTCTCTGCATCAGACTGTCGTTTTAGAGTGTATGGCCACAGGAAATCCCAAACCCATCATTTCCTGGAGCCGTCTTGGTAAGTCTTTGCTGGGGGTATTCATTCTAATGAGACTGATTAAATGTTTATTTTATAGATAAAGCACACATTTGGCATTTGCAACTGGATGACTTTTAGCATTATAAGGAAAGTCTGGCAAATTTTATACTTCTTACGACTGTGTGGATGAATCTCGGTCTTTTGACATAATTTCAATTTTGAATGAAGTGTCTCATTGCTTTAACTTGTGTTCTCTTTCAAATAGACCACAAGTCCATAGATGTCTTTAATACCCGGGTGCTTGGAAATGGCAATCTCATGATATCTAGTGTCCGGCTACAGCACGCAGGAGTGTACGTCTGTCGGGCCACCACTCCTGGCACGCGCAACTTTACCATTGCCATGGCAACTGTAACCGTGTTAGGTATGCTTTCTTTCTGTAATCAGGAGAATCTTACATTTTAGTATTTTGTATTTTAACCTTTTTGATAGCTTTCAATCTCCTGAGTTTTATAGCACTGGTACAAAGATTGATAGTAAGTACTGTAGAATCCAACAGCGAATTTTAGGAGAGAATTAAATTCCTGTGTGTTAAAATACAGCTCCGGGATCACCCTGTAGTCAGTGTAGTCAGTGTTCTGCGGTCCATGTCCTTTTAACAATCTCAACTTAATCTATTAATGACTGTGTGCGTTCTCACAAGGCCTTTCATAGAAATAAGGTTTGTGGGTCTCAGCGGGGGAAAGTTGACACTGAATGTCAGCGAAAGGCACTGTTCCAGTTTCATTTCTGTTGCTGCGATAAAATACTCTGACAAAAAGCAGCAGGGGAGAAGGGGTTAATTTAACTCATAACTCTAGGCTACCGTCCATCATCTGGGGGAAGTGTTCTAGTTTGCTTTTCTGTCATTGTGATAAGCAACATGGTCAAACGCAACCTGGGGGGGGTTGTCATTTTCGTCTTACAACTCCCAGGTCACAGGCCATCACTGAGGGAAGTCAGGGCAGGAATCTGCAGGCAGAAGCTGAAGCAAAGACCACAGAGGAGCACACGTCCTGACTCACTCCTTCTGACTTGCTCAGCTATTTCTCTTAAGCAACCCAGGTCCACCTACCCGGGGATGGCACCACCTACATCAACCAGCAATTAAAAATGTCTCACAGACACGGCCACAGTCCAGTCCCATGGAGGAAATCCCTCAGTTGTGGTTCCATCTTCCCAAGTGACTCTAGTTTGACAAAAACCTAGCCAGCAGAGGAAGTCAAGGCAGGAACTTCAAAGAGCTATTCTCTTCACATCTGTGTCAAGGGCTAAGAGAAATGAATGCATGCATGCTTGTTTGCTTCTTCCACCCAGGTCTGTTTCTCCACTCTTAAACAGTTCAGGACCCCCCTGCCTAGGGGCTGGTGCCACCCATAATGGGCTGGGTCTTCCCACATCAATTAAGACAATCCCCCACAGGCCAACCCAATATAGATAATCTCCGATTGAGACTGTCTTCCCAGGCGATTATAGGTTGCATCAAGTTGGCAATTAAAGCTGACCTTCATAGGTACCTAGAGAGGAATAGGGTCTCTGAATGCCAGGCATCTTCACACATGAGGCTCGCCTCATTACTGTGTTCTTTCATTCTTTCTTGTTGTTCCTATTGAGGCCACATAATTTTTTTTGCCTTTTAAAATAGCTCCTCCTTCATTTGTCGAGTGGCCCGAAAGTTTAACAAGGCCTCGAGCTGGCACTGCACGATTTGTGTGTCAGGCAGAGGGAAATCCCTCACCCAAAATGTCCTGGTTGAAAAATGGGAGAAGGATACATTCAAATGGCCGAATTAAAATGTACAACAGGTAGGTTATGCAACTTTGCTACTGCTTTATATAAAAGAATGCCTTCTTTATGTGAAATGGTTATAATATCAAATATCTAAATAATATTGAAAGTTGAAACTATATATAAGAAATTAAAATTTAGAACACCAATATGACTTAGATCCTTTTGTATTCTATACATGGATCATGGAAGTGTTATCTTATAATGGTAAGTGCTAACCAGTTCTCCATATCACAGTTCTAGTCCTGGTAGGTCACTGACTAAGTTATCACAGCAAACATATAAACTTTACTGTCTCAGTTGCTTCTTCTATCAAATGAAAAAAAATGAAAAGAAAATAATTTATTCCCTAATAGTTCCTCTATAGTTCAAACTTTATGACTTTAAGATTTTTTAGTGGGCTGGAGTGATAGCTCGGAAGAGTGTTCGATGCTCTTTCATGGGACTACAGTGTGTGGCCCACAACCTGTAACTCCAGCTCCAGGGAATTTGCACTCTCTTCTGGCCCCTGTGAGCACCTGCACTCACATGCACATATCTACACAGACACATAATTGAAAATAATAAAAATTAGGGACTGGAGAGATGGCTCAGTGGTTAAGAGCACTGGCTGCTCTTACAGAGGACCCGGGTTCCGTTTCCACCACGCACATGACAGCTAATGACTGTTCGTAACTCCAGCTCCGGGGGATCTGATGGCCTCTTCTGACCTTCCAGGGTATTAATACACAACTCATGTATACTTACATACATGCCGGCAATACACTAATACACATAAAATAAAAAAAATAAGCCACTGGAAAGATTGCTCAGTGGTTAAGAGCACTGACTGCTCTTGTAGAGAACCTGGGTTCGATTCCCAGCCTGCACATGGCAGCTAACAGCCATCTGTAACTCCAGTTCCGAGGGATCCAGTGCCCTTTTTTGACCTTCGTAGGCATTGCACAACACAGTGTAGTCACATACATACAGGCAATACACATAATAATAGTAATAATAATAATAATAAATAAGGCCAGGATTGGAGGCATATGTCCTTAATTCTTGCACTCAGGAGGCAGAGACAGATGGATCTCTGTGAGTTCAAGGCCAGCCTGGTCCACATAGCAAGTTCTAGGCCAGTTGAGGCTACAGAGAGATCCTGTCTCAAAAAGACCCTCCCCAAAATAATAATAATAAATAAAATATTTAAAAAACAGTAATAATAAAAATAAATCTTAAAAAGAAAAAGATGGGCCTTTAGAGATGGCTCAGTGGTTAAAAGCACTGGCTGCTCTTGCAAAGGACCTGAGTTCGATTCCCAGCACCCACATGGTGGCTAAGAACCATCCTAACTCCAGTTCCAGGGGATCCAACTCCCTCTTCTGACCTCCTCGGGCATTGGATGACAGCAGGGCACTTACATACAAGCAGGCAATACACTCATATACATAAAATAAAAATAATAAAAGAAAATTTTTTTGGTCTTTTTGAAGCAGGGTCTCCCTGTGGCCCCCGGCTGTCCTGGAACTCACTATGTAGACCAGGCTGGCCTTGAACTCACAGAGATCCGCCTGCTTCTGCCTCCCAAGTGCTGGGATTACAGGCGTGCGCCACCACGCCTTGCTATAAAAGAATATTTAAAAAAGAAAAAGAATAATTTTTTTCTTGTAACATTCTCATTTAGTTGAACAAAACTTTAGGATTGTTTTGTTGTAATATTAAATGAATTAATTGTAGACTAATAGTATAGAAGTTATGTACTTTCTTACAAAAGCCATTAAAAAAAATTAAAGCAAAAAGCACTTGAGTACTACAAATACTTAGGAAGACTCAGCATACAAATTAGAGTAATTTTAAGTAATTAATGTAGAATATTTTTAAAATAGTTTATTTATTTTATGTATATGAGTGTTTTGTCTGCCTGTTTGTAAGTGTATCCATGCTGCACAACGCCCACAGAGGTCAGAAGAGGGTGTGGGATCCCCTGGAACTGGAGTTAGCAGGTAGTTAACAGGTAGTTGGTAACCAACACCAGTTGTATGCACTGGGAACTGAACCTGGATCCTCTGCAAGAGCAGCCAGTGCTCTTAATTTCTCCAGCTCCTATGGAATATTTTAATAGAACTGATTACATAGTTTTTCTTGTTCTCAGTCATTTTTTCATAAAAATAGACTTACATTTAAAAGTAGCCGGACTTTGTTTTTTATGTCATTCTTAGAATTTTTCATGGATATGCATCTTTGTTTCCTCAGCAAATTGGTAATTAATCAGATTATTCCAGAAGATGATGCTATTTATCAGTGCATGGCTGAAAACAGCCAAGGATCTATTCTATCTCGAGCCAGACTGACCGTGGTCATGTCAGAAGACAGACCCAGCGCACCATACAACGTGCATGCTGAAACCATGTCAAGCTCTGCCATCCTCTTAGCTTGGGAGAGGCCACTGTACAACTCAGATAAGGTCATCGCTTACTCCGTGCACTATATGAAAGCAGAGGGTAAGCAGTTTGGAAGATGTTTATTAAACACTTCTTGCTATGAAGGATTTGTTTTCAGGGGCCAGGCATGTGGCTCAGTGGTAAAGTGCTTGCCTAGCATGCTCAAGGCCCTGGGTTCTAAACCTGGTAGAGTGGTGGCTCGTGCCTGTGGTCCCAACATTCAGGAGGTGGAAGCAGGAGGATCAAGAATTCAAGGTCGTCCTTGGTAACATAGCAAGTTTGAGGTCGATATGGGATACATGAGACTGTTAACAAAAAGTTAATAGTAACGACAACAAAATTTGTTTTCAGAATGAATAACATCTTATGTAATTGTTGTCAGCATTTTCTATGGCAGGGTACATAACATCTTCCCTTCTGTCTGAGGTCCCAATGACAAATAAAAGTTCAATTCTACCAAACTTCTCTGGGGGAAACCAACGAGTTTGTTGGACTTCCTTACAGAGATTACCTTGGAAAGTCTTCATGGATGATGGTTTTCTCACAGCTGCGTAGAGTCTCCCTCCCTTAGTCTAGCCCCATCCTGAGATCCCGAGGCCATGTGCAGTTAGGGCAGAATTGCATACAGGCTGGCAGAGTGATTGGGTACTCAGGTAAGGGGCCAGTAACCCTTCTCAGCCCTTCCTTCTAGGAGGGAGTATCAACAGCCAACAAGCCCAGCTGTAATGATCTTTTACAATCAGAGCGGGTCTTAAGAAGATAAGTACCCAAGTATTTAGAGGATAGTGCTGTACAACAATAGCCTATATTTTCATAATTCTATAGTATTTATGTCTAATAAAATATCTAGCAACTGTGACTATTTTTCCTAAATTTTGTATTGTTGTACACTTTGTGTATCTTAATGTAGTTTCAGAAACAAGTACTAGCAAAATAGCTCATGTCTGTTGAAAATTACAAGTGGTGTACTTAGGAATTTCACGCCAGCCAAGTTATAAATTCTCTAACTGAAACTTAAATTAATTTGAGTATTCAGTTACATAGCAACAGTAGTGTGACTGTGGAGTTAAGTAATAGAGTGACCAATAGACACAATAGCATGTTATTAAGGTGAAAGTAAATATATGAAATTCTTTACATACTTCAGTATTTTGAATTCTTTTTGAAAGGAAATTGGACAAGATAGGCTGGGTTATAGCTCCATGGCAGAGTCTTCACCCAGCATACATAAAACCCCGAATTCCATCCCCAGCCACCGAACAAAAAAAGTTCTGAAAAATAATTGAACAGAAGACTTCACTGATCTCATTTACTATTTAAAAATAACTATCAGGGGCTGGAGAGATGCTCAGCAGTTAGAGCACTCGCTGCTCTTGCAGAGGACCTAGGTTTGGTTCCCAGCACCCATAATCAGGTGGCTCACAACCATCTGTAACTCCAGTTCTAAGGGATCCAGTGCCCTCTTCTGGCTTCCATTGGCACCAGGGAGTCATACACATAAAATAAAAATATTTTTAAAATTAAAAAATTTAAATGTTAAGCTGGATATAGTGGTTCATGCCTTTACTCTCAGTACCCAGGAGGCAGAGGCCAGCCTGGTCTACACAGAGACCAGCCAGGGCCACATAATGAGACCCTATCTCAAATAAATAAATAAATAAATAAATAAATAAATAAATAAATAAATATCAAATCTCTTAAAACTCTTGTTTAGGAAAACATTTTGGGTATTTTTTTTAAATCCTCATTGTCCCAGAAAAAGAAAAGCGATCTGCAAGTCCTAGAGATTTCTTCATTGATTCTTCATAGAAGCAGTGGTGTCAAGGTTTGAATTTTAGTTCTGTACAGAAAACAGTCTGACTTTTATGCATCATGCATTACAACAGGAATGAACATGAGAGAAAGGCACTGTGCTGAGGTCAGCTGCAGAGACAGGTGGTTTCCTGTTGCTGTTGGGTTTGTCACTTGCAAGTTTTGAAAAAGAATATTTTGAATGTAAATCAAGGGTCCTGGGAGCCACAAGAATGGATGTCTGCTAGCGGCATGCTGGAGGGTGTTCACTCTCTCTGGCTGGTTCAGGAAGGCCAAAAGAATGCCAGCTGTGGTGGAGCCTGCTCTTGTTCACTATTGTGCTGGTTTCATTAGGGCCCCCCGCATGCCGCTCAGCAGTCTATTCAGGGACAGAAGAAGGCTTTTTAATTTGAACTCAAGGACCTTGTTTGGTAGGTCAGAAATTGTACTGTGCAGCTCCTAATTAGCAATCCATTAGCCAGTGTGTTGTGAAATGCCTCTAATCTTGTCTAATTAAAATGCTATCAAGTTAATTCAGAAATGTGGGAAAACTTAGTGCTGGAATATGCCTTCTGTTTTGTTCGTAAATCTAGTGGTGGGGGGAGGGGGACTGATCGGTCCTGAGAGCGTTTTGATTGAGTTGACAGGTACTGACTGCGGACTGTCAGCACACACGGTGGCTGGTGAAGCCCTATTCTCCAGGTCTGCGCTGCAGGAACTAAACCCACATAGACAAGTCCTCTTCTCTGGCTTGCCATGCATAGTTTAAGAATTGCTGAGAGTTTGCTTCCGTCTATAAAAAAATAAAAGCTCAGTGCACATTCTGAAGCGCATGCTCTACCCAGTTCTGTTGCTTTAGTATAAATAAAAGAATAACTTATGTCAGGCCACTTTAATACATTTCTCAGGGCAACATGAGATCTTTTGCAGGGCAACTTTGGGTTTGGTTTGTTTTTGTAAAGACCAGAGCCTGTATATTCCCTAATGTCTGTCTATTTATGTTCAAAAGAAAGTCGGAGTTTAAGCGGATAACACTTGCCTGTTAGGTTACAGCACTCTGTCGTGTTAAGCTTGCTCTCTTACTGCTATTTATCTGACCTGGTGTATGTTTTGACTAGATGGTAAATGTCCGGAGAAGTTCCAACTAGTAATTTGTAGCACGATAAATAACTTGGTTACTTTTAGAAAATCAAGAACTTTCTGCTCACAAAAGGGGTTTGTGTAGCGGGTCATAAAGATAACAAAGTTTACTCTCAGGACTGGGATTTATGGTGAGGGGAACATGGTCTTGCTAATTTTATTTTGAATATTTGTCATTTTAAACATGGGTTCTTGGACCTAGGTTTAAACAATGAGGAGTATCAAGTGGTCCTTGGAAATGACACCACTCATTACATCATCGATGACTTGGAACCCGCCAGCAACTACACTTTCTACATTGTGGCATACATGCCAATGGGAGCCAGCCAGATGTCTGACCATGTGACACAGAACACTCTAGAGGATGGTAAGAAAATGTGGTTCTGGATCATCAAGTATGATGGTGCATACGTTTAGTTAGTTTCAGTAAATAAGTATGTATTGGTTAAATGAAAACAGTTACAATAAACAATAGGACAGTTGCTCTCAAATCTCACTCTTGCCTTTTGCCAGAAACATAATAAAGATCACTTTTTATTTTTTTGTGTATTTATTTTTATTTTCTGTTTCTTTGAGACAGGGTCACCCTGTAGCCCTCACAGGTCTGGAACTCACTATATACACCAGGCTGAGTTCGATCTCACAGAGCTCTCTCTCCCTATGTCTTCCCAGTTCTGGGAATAAGGCCTATGTATGCCATCATGCCTGGCCCAAGATAACGTTACAAAAAATTTATTTTATTTTTTAAATTATATGTATATGTGTGTGTGTGCACATGAGTGCAGGAGCCCATGGAGGCCTGAAGGAGGGCATTGGATCCCCTGGAACTAGAGTTACAAGTGGCTGTGAGCTGCCTGACGTGGTTACTGAAAAAAACTCTACAAGAGCAGTATGTGCTCTTCATTGCTGAGCCAGCTCTCTCTCTATCCTTGATAAAGCACACTCACAAAAACCATTTTTGCATTTGTTTCTGTGTGTGTATATGTGTTTGCACTTGCCATGGTGTCTGCTTTTAGGCCAGATGACAACTCTGGGAGTCAGTGCTCTCCTTCAGCCTTGTGGGTTTTAAGGATTGAACTCTGGTTGTCAAGACTTGGCAGCAGGTACCTTTACCTGCTGAGCCATCTTGTCAACTCTTTTTTTGGTCTTTTTGAGACAGGGTCTCCCTGTAGCCCCAGCTGGCCTGGAGCTCACTATGTAGACCAGGCTGGCCTTGAACTCACAGAGATCCGCCTGACTCTGCCTCCGGAGTGCTGGGATCAAAGGTGTGTGCCACCACGCCCAGACTAACTCTTTTTAAAAAAAAGTATTTTGTTTACTTTTATTTTATGTGTATGAGTGTATTGCTTGCATGTACGTAAGTGCACCCATGTTGTGCAATGCCCACGGAGGTTAGAGGAGAGCATTGGAGTCTCCTGGAACTGGAGTTAGGGATGGTTGTTAGCCACCATGTGGATGCTGAGAATTGAACCCAGGTCTCCTGCAAGAACAGCCACTGTTTTCAACCACTGAGCCATCTCTCCAGCCCAATCTTGTCAACTCTTAAAGCACTTATATTTATAATCTGTAGTATAATTTTTAATAATAAATTCTTATATTAGGCTTAGGAAGTAGGTAAGTGATAGAATGCTTGCTTAGCATGTGAGAGGTCCAGGGCTCAATCCACAGTACCCTCCTCCCAAATCTTATCTTTGTATTTCCCAGTTAAGTTGTTGATACAGTAGTCAGAATATGGGTTTTTCTAGTCATATATATATATATAAATACAATGAATGTTATGTGTTTATAATACTGAAGGTCATGGGTACTGTACTTGTAAAACTGAGAATTTATGAAATTTAGCATCTGTTAATTAGAAAAAGACTTTGATGATGAAGTAGCAACTCACTTTATTATGAGATACTGCTGTTAAGCTTGTTTCTTTGGGAGGCAGAGGCAGGCGGATCTCTGTGAGTTCAAGGCCAGCCTGGTCTACATAGTGAGTTCCAGGTCAGCTGGAGCTAAAGGGAGACCCTGTCTCAAAACGATAAAAAAAAAAAAAGTTTGTTTCATTTCTTGACCATCAAGTTGTAGTTTCTTTTGAGGAAGAACAGACCTCCATATTCTGAGAATGGTAGGAAATTCTGTCCCTTAAGGATGGTCCTAAGGATTGGGAATCTCCTGGCTCTGCATGACATGTTGTGAAATACAGAATCTCTCTCCAGAGGTCCTGAAGGCCCCCCTTGTTCATACCCTGCAGTGTGAAAGTGAACTATTTAGCATATGTGTAATTGTGGTAGTCGTCCAGTACAGATGTTTTTTCATCCTCAGAGAATAATCTACTCTTAGTTTTCAAAACATCTTTGTATGAATAATTGCCACACCTACTCTTTTCATTTGGCCCCAGATCTGTTACTTACATCGTTATAATACCACATACTTTAGATTTTTATCATCTAAGAGTTTGACTAAATGAGAAACTTTACTTCATTGGATGCTGAATATCAAATTCATTTTTCATGTAGGAGTTTGTTCTTTATGGTGGTGTAGTGAGTGCATACCTACACTTGGGAGGCTGAGGCAGGAAAATTGCAAGTTTGAGTCCCACTTTGGGCTATATAGCAAGATCCTTTCTCAAAAACTAGTATCTTGGGACTGGAAAGATGGCTGTTCTTGCAGAAGCCCCAGGTTTGGTTTCCAGCACCCACATGGCAGCTAACAACTATCTGTAACTCTAGTTCCAAGGGATCTGATGCCTTCTTCTGACCTCTGTGGACATTGCACACACATGGTGCACTTATATACATGCAGACAACACACACAAAATAATAAAATATTTTTTAAAAATTAGTCACAGCCAGGCATGGTGATATACACCTTTAATCCCAGAACCTGGGAAGCAGAGGTAGGCAGATCTCTGTGAGACCAAGGCCAACTTGATCTACATAGTGAGTTCAAGGCCAGCCAGTGCTACAAGGATACCCTGTTTCAAAAAGACAAAAAACAAACAAAAACAAAAAACCTAGTCTCTTGCATGTGAGAGTAAACCACAATTTATATGACATCTCTAGTTGACAGATTATATTTAACAGCCTCTGTTTCTTATGTCTAAGGTAAAGCATGATCCAATTTGTAGGGTGTGTGTGTGTGTGTGTGTGTGTGTGTGTGTGTGTATGTATGCACGCACTTGTGTGCATACACGTCTATGAGCTTGAAGACAGTGAATTTAGGCAAGCTGCCTGTTAAGGCCTCATGTTCCAATTCAGTTCTATTTTCTTTGAAACCTTCCCTTACTCTGCAACTTTTTAGTTTATTTAATGAGATTTATTTCAGGGTGTGTTTTTGTTTGTTTGTTTGGGGGTTTTGGATAGCATACAGACCTTCCTGTCTTTCATTTTTGTTGCTATGTAAAATACCCAACAAAAAGCAAAGTAGGGGAGAAGGGGGGTTCGTTTCATCTCATAACTCCAGGTTACAGTCTGTTATGGTGGGGAGTCCAGGCCACAACTTCAGACTAGTCATATCACCTCCACAAGTCAAGAGCAGAGGGAGTGAATGCATGCATGCTTGCTGACCTGCAGGTACTCAGCTCGATTCTCTGCTATCATGCCTTCAGGACCCCCTGCCTAAGGAATAGTGCCTCTCACAGTGGCCTGGGTTTTCCCACACCCATTAACTTCAGATAGTGGCTCCCACACATGTGCTCAGGTTAACCCAATGTAAACAGTTTCTCACGGGGACTCTATTCTCGGGTGATCCTGGATTGGGGCAAATTGACGGTTAAAGCTAACCATCACACTTTACAACACTGCTTTGGTCTCTTCCCACTTCTTAAGCCAACTTTTTGCACACTGAACTATATGGATGACTTGCCATAAACCTGTTCCACAAATCTTGCCTATGTCATCTCATTTTATCCCTCCCTAACTGTGCCAGAGAGCTAAGCTAGGATTATGCAGGAGCACAGAGGACAAGCACGTGATCTGTCTGGTCGCTAGGATCTGTTCCTTCTCTAACTAGCTGTGTGACCTTGGACAATTGGTTTGACCTGTTTGTACCAAGTAGCAATGGCAGTGGCCCTTCCTTCATTGGCTATATATGGACCATTAATTCTTAATAGATACGAAAGATTGAAATAGGTGGTTTTTCATCTTCTACTCGTTCTTTGATTCACTCAAAAAAGTGTTTATTAAGTCATTTTTTCCATGTTACTTGGTATTTGGTGTGGACAAAACACACACCAATAATTTGTCCCTGGCTTCCTAAAGCTAACTTTCTTTTTTCAGTTGTTTATTTATGTGTGTATAAGCCTATGTGAGTCTATGTGCACCACATGTATGCAGTGACCACAGAGACCAAAAGAGGGTGTCAGATCCCCTAGAACTGGAGATACAAGCAGGTGTGAGACACCCCCTTTTGGGATTTGGAATGAACCTGAGTCTTGGGCAAGGGTAGTAAGCACTCTTGACCGCTGGGCTATCCCCTAGAGCTAACTTTCTAGTGAAGCAGGGAGCGGAGGACAGTAAGCAAGATAAGCAGTAAATTCTGTGCTGTGTTGTGGCACTGTCCAGGAGAAAGAGGAGGGAAATGCAGGGAGGGGAGCATGAGATGCTGGGGACATGAGATTTTAGGCAGTCACCACCAGAGACTCACTCAGCTGGTGGTAACATTCAGAAGCTGTCCAGGCAAGTGCCTAGTTGGTGCAGTGAGGCAGAGGAGGCAAGACTCCCATGAGGCTGGCAGCTCAGGTGAGACTGTAGTAGACAGGGTAGAAAGAGCAGTGGGAGGTCAGGCGAGAGCTGGTGCCAGTCCTGTAGTTGGGTATATTTTACATTAAACCATAATTGGCTTTTATTGTGAATGATAAAGAATTGTTCTGCGTGATCTGACTTGCTTTTTTTTTTTTGGTCTCTTTTTTGAGACAGGGTCTCCTTGTAGCCCCAGCTGGCCTGGAACTCCCTATGTAGACCAGGCTGGCCTTGAACTCACAGAGATCCACCTGCCTCTGCCTCTTGAGTGCTGGTACTAAAGGAGTGCACCACCACGCCCGGCCTGACTTGCATCTTAACAAGCTGCTATATTGATAATAGATGATATGGACAAGGTTAGGCACAGGTGAACAGGCTATCACTGTAGTAAAGGCTGAAAGTAATGGTAGTGTGAACTGAAGAGTGGCCTTGGGAGTCATAGCGCTGCAGGACTGACAGTGGAGTGTGTATGAGGAGGCATGAACAGCAGGCTGGAAGCACTGTACAGATGCTTGTCATTAACTGAGGAGAACGACGTCGGAGGCAGCTGTTGTCTTTTTTTGACGTTGTCATGCATGTGTGTAGTATATTTTGTTCATATTCACTCCCATTATTAGAGAATGCCCCCTCTTATTTCTTCTGGTCCCATTCCTCTTCCCGACTAGACCCCCAGAAGGAGACATCATCATCTCTGTTTTGTGTATGAAGAAACCTAGACACAGAGAAGCTGGTTCTCCAGGCTCTCACAGACATCACATCACATAGGTAGTTGATAGAAAGCATTCAGATAGAATTGGTTCTAACTAGTTTTGTTTTTGTTTTTGTTTTTATCTTTTTATTGAGACAGAGTCTCCCTGTAGTCCTAGCTCGCCTGGAACTTGCTATGTAGACCAGGCTGGCCTTGAATTCACAGAGATCTGCCTGCCTCTGCCTCCTGAGTGCTGGGTAAAGGTGTATGCCACCATGCCCAGCCTTTTTTAAAAAAATTCATTTAATAGAGTATCTTTCATCTATTCTTTGGCAATTTTATATGTGTAAACAGTGAGTGCATCTCAATCATATGCACCCCAGCTCCTCCCTCCCACTCTCCCCAGGAACCCCAACATGGTTCCCCTACCCCATTCATGTCTTCCCTATCTTTTTTTGTTGTTAATACCTGGCTGAGTGCAGTTAATGCCACCTGTTAGAATGCTGACTGATCTTATTGACTTGACTTTGTCTAGTTTTGTGTAGTGAGTTCACAGCCATGTCCTGTCCAGAAGACAGCATCTCACAGCACTCCTCCCCAGCCTTCCATGCTTTCCACCCTTTCTTCTGTGGTGTCTCCTGAACCTTGGGGGTGGTGTGTGATATAGATGTCCCATTTATGGCTGAATACTCATTCTCAGCACTCTGACCAGTTTTGAGTCCCTGCATTAACTGTTGCTGTTTTATGGGGGGGAGGGGTTGGTGTGTGTGTCGGGGGGCTCACCTTATAGCCCTTGCTGGCATGAAATGGAACTCACTATGTAAACCAAGCTGGCCCTAAACTCACAGGGATTCACCTGCCTTTGTCTCCCAAGTGCTAGGATTAAAGGCATGTGCTACCACATCCAGCCTCAATTTTAACTCAGTATACTGCCTACCATTGCACTAGACTAATTTTCTTGGAATGCTAGTGGTATTCAAATTATTGAAAGAAGATGCATTTTCCTATCAAACATGATACGTTCTCATTTGTTGTATACTCTTCACATTAGTTCTTTTAAAATTTTTACATTTACGTGTGTGTGTGTGTGTGTGTGTGTGTGTGTACATGTAGAGGTCAGAGGACAACTCGCAGGGATTGGTTCTGCTCTCCTTTCACTGTATGGGTCCTGGGAATCAAACTCAGGTCATCGGGCTTGGTGGCATGTGCTCTTAGCTGCTGAACCATCTCATTGGCCCCTCGCATTAGTTTTTCATATGCAACTCTTACATTTCAAAAAATTATCTGCGGCCAGGCATGGTGGTACAGGCCTTTAATCCCAGCACTTGGGAGGCAGAGGCAGGCAGATCTCTGTGAGTTCAAGGCCAGCCTGGTCTACATAGTGAGTTCCAGGATAGCTGGGGCTACAGGGAGACCCTGTCTCAAAAAGACCAAAAGAAAAAAAAAAAAATTATCTTCTACCTAGTTACAATTCTGGAGTCCTTGCTGTGATGTAACACTTTCTCTCTTGCTCTCTTGCTTCACAGGCATTTTGGTAGCCTTGTTTGTGAATTTGTGAACTTTACATGATTATTATGCTGGTTAGTTTTTGTTAACTTGACCAGCATGGTGGGACACAGAAGCAGGCTGGAACAGTGACTAAGTGTCCCCATATTTACCCCAAGTGCCCAGCTTGGGGCAGGCCAAAAGCATGGTAATCACTTTTCCTTTGATTCCATGTGCTCCACACCCCCCCCTTTTTTTTTTCCTTCTTTCTTGCGGCTCACCGGCTGCCCCACGAGAACCTCCGCTCCATCCAGAAACATCACTGCTGTTGGCATGTTACATGCTGATGTTAAGAGAATTCAATAAATATGCTTAGTGCGCCTTGATTGTATATTTAGAAACGTCTTTGCTTATTTATCTAGTGCCCCTGAGACCGCCTGAGATTAGCCTGACCAGTCGAAGTCCCACCGACATCCTCATCTCCTGGCTGCCCATCCCAGCCAAGTATCGGCGGGGCCAGGTGGTGCTGTACCGCCTTTGCTTCCGCCTGAGTACCGAGACCTCCATCCAGGTCGTGGAGCTCCCAGGGACCGCCCACGAATACCTCCTGGAGCGCCTGAAGCCTGACAGCATCTATCTGGTGCGGATTACTGCCGGCACACGTGTGGGACTGGGAGAGTCATCCGTGTGGACCTCACACAGGACGCCCAAAGCTACCAGTGTGAAAGGTAACGACCCACCCCTCAGGACGCTCAGGAAGGAGCGTTGTGCTTTCACTCTGGCATGAGATCTTTCCTCCCTAGTTAGATTCAGTTTTAAAAAATTTTTGATTTACGGGTGCAAATATTACGTAGCTTATGAGTTTAATTGAAAAAAAAAAAAAGCAAATATCACTAGGAACTGGCTCTGTGGCTCAGTTGGTAGGTAGAGTGCAAGCCTAGCGTGATGAAGCCCTGGGGTGAATGCCTGGCACCATGTACACCAGGTGTGGTAGTGCTCCACCGGAGCCAGGTAATGCCAGCACTGCAAGAGGATCAGAAGTTCATTCTTGACTGCTGTGAGGCCAGTTTGGGATAAGACAGCCTATCCAGCCTGTCTTTGGTCTCTCTGATTTCGAGGTCAGCCTGGTCTACATAGTGAGTTCCAGGCCAGCTGGCTACAGGGAGACTCCCATCTCAAAAAAGACCGAAACCCCCCCCCCCAAAAAAAAAAAAAGAGAAAGAGACTATCTCTTAAAAAAA